GAAAAAAAACTTAATGCTACTTACATAAAAGGATACAAAATACGAATTTCAACTTCATTGCACAGACTTGCAGTTATTCTTATCATTGATAAATCAAGGGACGAATTAGAACTAACGCTAACGGTGCAAAGTCGTGTCACTCTAATTTTTTCCATGATAAGTTAGGTTGTCTTGGCTTGGGATATCGATATTAATATATTATTTCGAGTCTTTAAAAAAACATTTATTTGCCGTACATTACTTCTCTTTTTTTCAGTATTTGAAAGTTATGATGTAAATTCCTATAAAAATATAATACTTTAAAAGTTGATTATGTAGACCATATTTCATTATTTTTTGACTTTGTCATGTTTTGTACACGTATGTCCAATTTTACTGTGTCTAGCTTTGGCTGCAATGAAGTATCTTTCCCGTCTATGTGATGATAAATTGTTTGCAATGTGCATGTCGATTTAGATAAAATAATTAACACAAATTAATCCTGGTAAAAAGAAATAAAAATTCGAAACATAAAACAAATAAGGGTGTCATGTTCAACTTTTAACTTCCACAAAACATTTTTTTATTAAATTTCAACTGAAAATGTGTTCATCTCTGCATCTAACAGTTTACAAAAGAACAACATAAAAATCATATTCCATAATTGTTAATTCCACTTTTTCTGTCTAATAAAGCAATGATCCATAAATCATTACGCAGATTTGATTGGTTGATTGTATATCCCTCTCGAGAAATTTTCACTCATATGGAGACGTCACCGTATGCCGGTAGGGGGCTTCAAATTTAAACCTATACTCGGCACTCAGGGCCATTGAGCACTGAGGGTTCTTAATCGTGCCAACGCCTACCATGACACGGGACCTACGTTTTTAAAGTCATATCCGAAAGACCTGTGACTTTTACTTCTAGTGCCGAGCGCTTGGCGAAGGAACGGTCACTACCTATGGTTAGGTCTTAGGTAGGACGTGGCGCTGCGAACGAGAATCGAACCCGGGCCCCCTTTTCACGAAGCGAACGCTCTACCACTAGGCTACCGTGACCGGTATTACGGAGATATGAATTTGTAATATAAACAATAAGATTTCATCGCGGAGGAGAATCTATAAAATATCAAAAGAGGAACGAGGATGTATTGGAAGTAAATCCAAGTTCTCTTACTAACCACCTTATCGCTGCTATCCGAAAACACATAGAAGATATTTGAGTCCAAAAACCAGTATGTGAGGTTTATTATAAACAGCACCATCGCACACGAAGATATCCAAGGAGAGGACCTTTCAGTGGTTCTGAAGCGGGTAATATGCACCAGCAGGGAAGTCTGAAGGTAAGTCTCTATCATGGAAAATACATGTCTGGTGACTAGAATTACGACTTTATGGACACCGTCGTCATTGTAGATACCTGTTAGAAAACCAAATGTGTGAAATGCCATCAAGCCGGAAGAGCTTAGGATAAGAAAATAGTCATTTGAGGCCAATATGTGAGGCAGCTTTCTATCCATGTAATACGTATTGAGATGATAATTGATGATTAATATACATATACAAGCTATGAAAGAATTAACATACTCGCTTGCTTGTAAAGTTATAAAAGTCGGATCATTCTTCCATTTATACACAAAAGAAAGAAGCATTGTAGATATGAATGTAGGCAGCATGGAAACAAGTCCAAAAATCAAAGATAATAAACTCAGCGCTCTGTTTGGTTTATGCCTTTTTGTACGTCTTAAAGGTTCTTCGTCTGTGTCTGAATTTTCCAGGAGCCAGTGGCTGGATTCAATACAAGTTTCACGTTCTGAAGATAGAGAACATGTTCTTTCTTTCTTTACCGATGACCAAAGACTCATTATGAAGTCTGAGGCTAAAATGCAGAACTCCATTCTAGCTGGAAGAAGGTAGGGAACAACTTTACGAACCAGTCCGTTTTGAATTTTAGAGTGCACAAAACAATAGGAACTGTTGAAGATTGTGAGGTTTCCATTTAGACGAATGGTGTATTCATTGTTTGCATTGCTCACTGTTGTGTTGAACCAGATGCAGAAATTTGCTAACAAGATTGGTACAATGGCTAAATCTGTATGACAACTGGTTCGTAGTAATCCGTGTCTATAACATGTTATAAGACCTAACTGTATAATCAGAAACATCAAAAGAACGATGGTACTGGCGAAGGATGCTGCGAAATAAGGAGTAGGCACATGTTTTTCGCCACATTCTATTATGATCGCCAAATACAACGATACATGAACCATGACAGCGAGCCCAAAGATCCACAGAAATACAAGTCTGATGTTAATTGAAGGATCACGTTCTTTTATCGATGGAACCAAACCACTTTGTTTCTGACGATGGGTTACCACAAAAATGATTACCATAGAGACTAAGCCTAGAAGCACAAAACCCATGACAACGAACCAGTTAACAAAATGGGCCGTAATATCACTGGTTTGTTTTGCTGCATAGATTCCAATAACGACCAGAAGAATAGAAGTCATATGGCAAAACATCATAAGGACAGAAACCTGTCGTTTTTCTTGATCATGATTGGACCTGCCGTGTGACGTGACGGAAATGCCCAGCGCTCGCAATAACGTGGGAAGACATGAGCATTTGGTCATCATTTCCTTAATTGTGTCACAAATGGTGAAGTAAGACTAAATTTGAGGCATGGTGTTGTCTTTTTTTATATATCTTCAGGATAATGCAAGGAAATAATATAACCGTTTTTATCTGCATCCTTATACTGATTAAAAATTAATTATCTGCAAACAGTCCGTCTTGCATTTATCTCACACGGAAGGATGAGCCATGCAATAGGCAAGACACAATCCTGCGTTAAAGTGTAGAAGTTACATAGTACGTATAAAATATTATTTGATAGAGTAAAAAAGCTTTTTGTATGGGTTCCAAACATACAAAAAATGATGAGAGGAAAACGTATTAAAAGGAATGAATATAAAGTATATACAATCTGAGGACAGGAAATCAGTTCAAACAGAAATAAAAAGTTTAGAATAGATGTAATAACTCCAATGATGTTTAAAAAGATCCTTATGCCCTATAATCCCATTAATGACTAATTTAAGATAAAACATAATACTTTTGTAAATGACAAAAATCAGGTGTTCCTCGTGTGATTTGTGTGAAAACATAGCTCTCAATAAGCATAAATTCTATTATGCACCAAGCAATAGGTTTTATCAAAATGAGAAGAGACTTGCTATCAGTCAATCATTTTATTTCACTTGACAAATAAACAAAGCTGCAAAATCTTCCTTAAACTCCGAGTACAGTACGAAGGCATGCTCTATCGTCACAACAGTATATCTCCCCCGTAGAAAGGACATCCCTCTCAAATGAACAATCCTCAACCTATAACATATTCAGAAAAAAAACCCCAGAATGGATACTTTCATCTCAATGAAACCTAATTATTTAGAATATTGAGTTAGAATGTTCATTTCCAAACTTAACAGTAATCTTAGTCTATTTGATTACATTTATATAAAACATTTTATTCAAATTCAAATAGAGCTTTTGGTGTAAACCTTAATGAAATTTATTCACAAAAATTGAAATTCCCTTTACAGAAGTGATTCAGCAATGATAATGATGTATTATATCTGGTTTGGATAAGCCAGATTCAGTGATTCAAGTATACACTCTACGATTTCCTTCATGATTTATAAACAAGTATTTCTACATATCTATTCTCAATGCATATGACTGTCTCCCACCTTAGAGCAGTGTACAGTAAAATTGTATCCAGTGTAGGACCTAATCATACAGGTTTCTGAGACATCACAGATAGAATCCCAGCTACACGAGAGATTCTCATCACAGGTGGGACATGGTTTTCCTATAGCAAATGATACGTTTGTTATAATTGTTAATGCATTTGTACCAGTCTTTTATAACAATATTCAGAAAAAACCTAAAATATCCTAAAGTTTTCGCTATTCTGAAATAAAGCTTGATGTATTTTCTTTCTGATGAAATATTTTCAGCTAGAAAGATATAATCATATGAAAAGTTATTACAAAACACGATTTGGAAACCTGAACAAAAGTAACTTTTTCCCAGTATTTTTTCATCTATGCAGAAAAGGTTCAATTTGCCTGTTTAAAATATAGACCTTTTACACATTTAAAAGATTTGGAGCAATAACTCTTAACTGCATATAACAGGACATAAGACTCAAAAAACAGAGCCATGAGGAAATAATTATCAAAAGCGGACACAATGAAACATTTGATAACGCACCTGCTGGACAGGCTGTAACGTTACACAACCCTAACTCAAATGACTTCCCATCGCAATCTTTCCCTCCATTGCCGGGCAACGGATTATCACACTGTCGTTTCCGGCTCCTAGCAATCATGTCACCACAGGTGGCGCTACATGCAGACCACGGTCCCCATGAACTCCAACCACCATCAACAACTACAAATGTATAAAGAACGTTCTGATCAGTGTAAACACTTATTAAATTACAAGCTGATCGACATCACTTACACATAATTACATGTATCAAGAAGAAAGGGCCACATGAGATATAAAATAAAAATTGGTAGTTTTTATAGCCTACTGAAATAAACCATTGTTCGTGCAAATGTCTAAGAAATCTTTCTCTCGACGAGTGAGCAGAATTTTGTAATGATATAGGCTTAAGAAAAGCACAAAATACATGTATAAACTCATTAATTTTATCAAGTTCCAACAGATTTTAAGTCTAAAATATATTTCAAGTAATGTAAAGAAATAACATACATGTATGGAGTTTATGCATTACCTACCACATATACCACAGGTTTTGGGACAGGTAATGGGACCTTGTGGATTATCCGGGGCGCACATATTTGTGTACTTGGCAAACACTGGACACCCAGGATCATGGTCTTCACAAACGACTGGGTAAAGAGTAATTATCTTCATGAAAGTAAATGATCAATACATTTACAATACATAGTTCCTCTTGGATTATTTTTTGAAAGGTACGATACATGTTCATTTTTCATCCATTTATCAAATTAATATGAACTAAACTTAAAGATATTTACATGTAACAAAGCAACATGTATCTATAGTACTGATCAACAAATCTTACCTGGGCAGTCTGACTTATTGCATGGATGAGTTTCTGTATCTGCTCCAGTGCAGTTCAAACCACCATGCATGGGAACAGGTTGCGTGCATGCACGTGTTCGAGTGTTTACTCCTGCACCACACGTGACACTACAGGGCGACCACCCCGTCCAGTCGCTCCAGCCCCCGTCAACTATAACCGGGGACATACATGAAAGTTGAAATTAACTTGAGATTGATCAAATTATAGGAAAAAAGATGTGAAACGAATGTCTCCGTATGTCAGCTCAATGAGCTCATAGATAACCTTGAATGTTTAGAGAGTAGGTCATTCTCCAAGGCTAACTTCATTAAATAAAAATATATCGGTGTTCAAAGATCAAATAAAAAACAAATCCAACGATTAAGTTATGAAGACTAAAGAGCTGGTACCAAAAGGTAGGTATTGTCATTAACATTCTGAAATAATCCGTTTAAGAGAAATGACCAAGTTCCAAGTTTTTACAGCGAGACAGACATCTTGACAGACATACAGAGAAAAAACCCAAAATATCTTAAATCATTCACATGTATTATACTGGAAGAGAAATATACTGCATCTTGCAATCAAAGTGCTCTTTTAAATATACCTAGAACTACTTCAGATACTCTTCTATAGTAATGTACAAACACTGCAATTAGTTTTCAGGGCATGCAGATTTTTCTTTTTCATCTCTACAACCAAATCAGAATCAAACTTTAAGTTTTTCATACAATGTACGTAATATTACTAGACCTTACCAGGACATTCCATTTCGGTACAACTTTGGATACTATAAGGATCCCCAGGACAGAACTGTCCGTCGTGAGAGGGCGCTGGATTGTCACATTGTCGGTCACGTGTCTGTACTCCAGCTCCACAAGTCAAAGAACACGACGACCAACTCGTCCAGTCTGACCAAACTCCATCAACTGGAAAACAATTTGATTTGCAGTTGATAATCGATGTAAAAGGTATTTTTCAAATGATGAACTTCCGTCCTAATTTATAGATTTTACAGTTTAATATCTAGCAAACATATTTTCAATGTTTTAAAGTTGTGAATAAAAGATAATGACAGACAGGAAGACATTGGAAAGGTCAGATCTCAATAACTTTAGTGACAAATTATATGTTTTCGACGTAGATTTCTCTTTTCTTTTTCCCTTCTTATTTGTAATTTACAATGCATTGATTTGTTTCAATAACACTCCTCTTGCATATGTTATTTTTTACGTTTTATTCAAATTATTTTTACCAATGAAACTTACTTGGACATGGCAGTTGGATACAATTGTCTATTTCCTTTGATGTCCCATTACAGTCACTTCCTCCAAAAGCAGGCACAGGATTAGAACACTGACGGGAACGTGTTTTGGTGCCGTTTCCACATGATACACTACATACGTTCCAAGAAGACCAATCGGACCAACCACCGTCAACTCCTGTAAAAATACATTAAAAGTTACCCGGAAAAGATTTTTGGAAAACAACAAACATTTAAAGAAAAATTTAAAGACGGAAAGCAAAGGCGCGGAAAAACAAACAGTATAGTGAAAAATATTTATTTATTCTAAAATTTCAGTCTTATAAAAGGAACTGTAAAATTAAATCATATAGAATCCTACTACATGTTCCACACGTGATTGGACAGAGTTGGAAACCGGAAGGATGAGCAGGAGAACAGAACATAGATTTGAACGTCTGGCAGTCGGGAGACAGGTCTTTACAAACATCTAAAGAAAAGTGAATGCTAACTCTCTTGAAAATAGGTATTATTTTGAAGAAGTATAATTTTTTGTAATGGACTAGATATGTTAATCGCAAACATGATAATTGCTACATTTAACACTTTTCCTCATTTCTTTAGCCAAACTATCTAATAAAAGTTTTACCAGCTATTATGCTTTAAGTCATATTTTTCCTTGCATTTCTTTTTTTTTTACGTAATGCGAATCTTACTTCAAGTTTTTATCAGAAAATGATCTACGTTTTGCTATGATGAGTTGAACTTACAGGGGCACACAGATTTGTTACAAGGGCGCATCTCTGTGACGTTTCCAACACATGACCTGCCGCCATATAAAGGAACCGGACTGTTACAGGTGCGTGTTCGAGTTTCTTGGCCGGATCCACAGGTAACACTACAGGACGACCAGTCCGTCCAAGACGACCAGCCTCCGTCCACTAAAAAATGGACACTTTCAGTAAATTTGTTTTTCGTGCATTTTAATTTTTTTCTATTTATTAAAAAAATAATAATGTCAACAGTAGCAAACGTTGGTTTATGGCATAAGTTGTTACAACTGCAGATCCCTTGATAATAATTACACTTTTCGTAATTTCAATAAAATCATCTATTAGTTCTTACTTTTTATATTGCTGAGATATTTGTTACCATTTTTTCTAACCTATATCAGTCTGATCATTTCTTGATACAAACTCATAAATTAAGGGAAGTTCAACATAATACCATTTAACCACAACACAATATTTTAATTATATATAATGATAAGGCTTGTAAGTTTGTCCTCCGGGATATTGTAGAGAATGAGATGAAATTTTCTACCTGCATGAACAGAATAAATGATGACACAATTATTGTGATTTTTGTGTATAAAATGTGCAGGAAAATTGTCAAACTAAAAGCCAACTGGCAACTCTAAAATCTTATAGTACATAAATCTGGCATTCAGGATATTGTTGAAATTTGTGTTACTAGAAGAAGAAAAAAGCTTGTGAAGGTCAGTAAGAAAATTATGTTTTACACTCAGTGTTTTACGGACCAGTATATGTCTATATTCAGATCCAAATCACTTGGGTAAGTTATACTGACCGAAAAAAATAATATCATACGGAAATCTGAGGAGAATACTGTTTGACATTGATTTCTATATATAACAATAAAGTGATTGCAAACTAAAGTCCAAGGAGGTCTATATTTGTATATTTTATATTATAATAGTTATATATTATATAATCACTCCAAAGTGATAAGCCAAAGTCATATACGTTTGCCGCGTTACCGATGCATTAAGTAGGCCCATAGTTCTGGGACAAATATACCTGTAAAAGTTTTGTAAAACGTTTTGTATTTTTAGCTGCTCCATAACGTTTTCAGACTTTGTTGAACCGGCCAAAAACATGAATTTACTTTTCTTAGTTGTTTTGTTTTAATCTCTTATCATTTCAGAATTTTCTTTACATTGTTATAAAAATTAGAATATACTATATAGGAGGCAAACTAAATATCTGTGAAAGGTTACCTGGACATGGTGTCTGTGAACACGACTGCACATCATGTAAGCTACCAACACAATCTCTACCTCCACCGGAAGGCGAGGGATTAGAACAGGACCGAAACCTGTATTGTGATCCTCCGCCACAGGATATAGTGCATGATGTCCAATCTCCCCAGACCGCCCATGACCCGTCAACTATTATGTATATTGTTAATTGTATAATTCCTTTTCTTCTTTAAGAAAAACAAGTACAAGTACATGACAATCGGTCAACTTAGAAAGAATATTGATGATGGATTATTCCTATAGTTTCTTGTAACATGTACATATTAAATAAGTACATGCAAAAAGATGAAATAAAATTTCAAAAAGATTTTCTGCTGACCAATATTTATTTCTTTAATGATTTGTTAGTTTTTTTTTCGGCTTGTATATTAAATGTTTTAAACAGATCTAAAACGTTCCATATATAAACGACATAAAACTGAAACATTTACAAATTTCTTATGATTAGCAATCCACTGTTAAAGTCAGTTTGTTCTTTACGAATTATTATCATTAGGAACTGTCCTGCTCATAGGATAACCATATCGCAAATCCTATAATATATCTCATCACCTTGGCATTGTTGAGTGTTGCAGTCAGCTACGTCCTGTGCAGATCCGCTACAAATCAGTCCGCCATGGGAGGGAGGTGGGTTATTGCAAAGACGTGATCTTAATTTGACCCCTCCCCCGCAGGTCAAAGTGCACACAGACCATTTTGCCCAGGTCCCCCAAACACCATCCACCGCTTCAGTTTAAATAAACTCAAATTAATAAAAGATGACTGCATTGATATAATAATTAACTCTTTATCAGCAGTTTACGGATTTGCTTCTTACGACATAGTCCGCAGGTGCTTGGACAAACATTTTGGCCGTCCGTGTTATCTGGAGCACAGAAAACGTCCTTCAACAACCCACACTGAGCACTGCTATCTTTACATGAACCTACATACAGGGAAAAAAAACTAATCCTTGTTAGTAAGTCTTTGATAAAATGAAGCCAAAATCTTTTTATTTGAAAATGATAAAGAGGAAAAGAGAATGCTGGTAATTAAAGAATTTGTACTGATTACTATTTTTTGTTTGCATCTAAAAACTTATTTAGAGCTTTATTTAATCAGTTTACTATTATCTTGTTAATAATTCCTTTATGGAAAACTATCAATCAAGTATGTAGTTTGCGCTCCGATTATTTGATGATAGATAAAATGGCATGGAAATTAAGAGCCCGACTGTTTAATCAAAAGAAACAAATTTTTACAGACTTTGGTGTTAAACGCTTAAGCAGTGGGCAAAATAAGTTAAGGATCATATTTTTACACAAGAATAATATTTTCATACCCATGAATTTATGTGACAACAAGGCTTAAGTAGTTTTAAAAACATGCCATTAATACGATTCGATACTTAAGTCAGACGTGGTTAAGGAGTTTTGCGACATATTGGTCAAGAAAGAAAGTAAGTGGAACAATGGAAGCATAGAAGTATTAAAGAGGGTTTTCTTTAGTGAACATAAGAAAATTTCAGTAGATCTGGCCAGAACTAGTGATAAGACGCTATGAGGAGGCATATGAGTATGGACGAACACTCAATGGCAGCAGAGATGCTCGAAGCTGGCAAAACGCAACGTCACGTTGCAGAAAGACTTTATCTCACCCAAAACGGAATAAACGGATATTCACAGGCAGAATATTGTCAAAAAAGGCTAAAATCGGGACGTTCAAGGGGTACGGCAGTCCGTGAGGATCGTTATTTGGACTGGGCATCAGAGAGCAAAGGACAGACGGATTTTTGCTCAAACAGTTTGAAACAGACTTCAGAAAGCAAAGCTCAAGGCTTGCCGACCAACCGTACGTCCTGTATTAAAAGTAGAGTGCCGCAGAAATTGACTACAGTGGGCAACAAAACACAAAAATTTGGCAATAACGTCATTGGTGTTCTGCTCTCTTCTCAGACGAGTAGCGATTTTGTTTTGACTTCCATGATGACAGAAGACTTGTTTGGATTGCAAATGAGAAAAGATATGTTGATTGTGTCATTTCTGAGCAATACAGAGTAAATGGAGGTTTGGTGATGATTTGGGCAGGCATAAGTATTTACTGCAAAACTGATCTGCACATTATGGAAGGAACTTTACAGGTTTAAAATACTGAAATGATATTCTTCATCCTATTGTTAGACGTACTGCATGTACTCTGGGGGAGAATTTCATCTTAATGGACGATAATGCTCGACCTCATGGAGTCCGAATCGTAAACGAGTACACGGAAAGTGAAACAACTTAGCGTACGGACCCGCCAAGTCGTTTTCTAGACTTGAAGTTAATTGAACATGCCTGGAACATTCTTTAGCAACGCGTTTTAGTTCGTCTTGCACTTCCTCAAAATCGAGGGAGCTTCAAACAGCATTGCAGGAGGAACGGCAACAGATCCCTGAGGCTAGCCTTGGACGGCTGATGGGCAGCATGGGTCTGCGCTGCAGGGCCTCGCGGGGAGGTCATACAAAATACTGGTAATTATTTTAGTGACGTAATTTGACTCTTTTGAAAAAAATCTCATTTTCAGGTCTACCCCCAACATGCCGAATTCTAAAATGACCATAATGAACAATTCGTAGCGTGTGTTCAAACAAATTTATCACATCCAGTGTTTAATATTCACTTTTTAAATATAAAATATGATACTAAAATTAAAAATGCATTCTGTTTTCTTTGATACAGTATTTGTAAAACATATTTAATTTGATAATCCTTAGCTTTTTTGTCCAGTATATTTTTATCCTATAAGATAAACAAAACGTATTTAAAGGAAATGTCATACGGGCACAAGGTGCTAGGACGCAAGTCTGTGTTTCTTTAAGATCTCCAGTACATGGTTTTCCTCCGTGGGATGGCGCTGGATGTGTACAAGATCGGACTCGAGATTCTATTCCTGCACCACATGATACACTGCAAGTCGACCAACTCTCCCAGCTTGTCCATCCTCCGTTGACTTAAGTAAGAACAAATCATGTGTTTGTATATCAAAATCATCAGCTAATTTCACGACAGAATCTATCTTACCTGGGCATGGAACTTGGGAACAACTTCGTGACTCGTGGTTGCTGCCAGTACACGTTTTCCCGCCATATGCTGGTCTGGGATGATTACAATGTCTGGTCCGTATTTGAGCCCCAGCACCGCACGTAGTAGAGCATCTACCCCATCGGCCCCACCCTGACCATCCTCCATTCACTATCGAAAAGAGAAAAGTTTTCTTTTTCAAATTTGAAGGTACTATTTTTTGACATTGGGATTTACTACTGCATGTGCATGCCTGTACTTTGTAAAATCAATATACAGGTCATGCTATTGTAGGTTACCTGGACAATGTGTAACTTGGCAGTCCTTAGTTTCTTGATTAGATCCTCCACAATTCGTCCCTCCGTTGGCAGGGGCTGGGTTCGTGCACTGTCTACTACGGGTCTGCGATCCTTTTCCGCATGACTTTGAACAGGACGACCAATTATTCCAAACGGACCATCCCCCGTCAACTACATATATAACAATAAGTTTTACAATATTTGATTTTTTGCAAGTTATTTTTAAGACAAAAGTTACAAAAAAGAAAGAAAAACCTTTTTATCTTTCTTTTTTATGATGGACTGTTTGAAAAGTTTTTTTCCTGAAAACAAAGATTTCTTTTCAATTAAAAATGCCGTTTTCGAATTCTTCCGAAAACAGGATCTCTTTAATTTTGACAGAAGTATTATACTTAAGTGTAATGAATGCATTTATTAAATAATGTGTTTTTATAGTCAAATATATTTATATGATACATGTATTGCATTATGTATAGAAAGGAAAATCACTGTTACTCAAAGAATTACATGTACGTCTTTTACTGAGAAAGACATACTTTCAGAATTAGAAGTAACTTTAACACAAAGAAAATATATAATTATTAAATAATGCAAGAAACAAAGATGCATGTGCTTCTCACGAAAAAAGATATCTCTCTCAAAGAGTATGAGATATTTCATTCAGCAAAGAGAGATTTCTATTTTAGCAAAAGCAAATATCTATCTACAAATTGTCAAAAGTAGTCTGAATTAATCTTTATCTACCTGGACATGGCTTTGAACAAGTTTGACTTTCTTGAGAATTTCCAACACAATGTGCTCCGCCATACTTAGGGCTGGGATGATTACAACTGCGGTGACGTATACGTTGTCCAGCTAAACAGGAAGTAGAACAGCTACCCCATGATCCCCAGGGTGACCAGCCGCCATTTACTGAGTTAAAATGTGTTTTTATAGACGTTAGACACAGTCTTAGAGACATAATTTTTTATATATGAATGATTATAATTATGTTAAAAAAGGATTATCACCACCTGGTTCTTGTATTGATTTAAATATTCTAGGAAGTAAATTTAAGCAAGGGACGTAATAAAATCATTTTTTGATGTTACCTCTAATGAATGATAATGCCCCTTTTAATGAATAAGTAAAGGTTATATCTCTTGACATAGTATTTCGTCAGCTGATGAAAGAGAAATATCGAACTGCAAAACTTTTTTTTTGATTTCATTCATTTAAATGCCTAAATGACCAGCTTACTTGGATCATGCTGGCATGTACAAGTGTTTTTGTTACACTTGTAATGGTATCCACTGTTACATGCATGATGGGAACAATGTGAGTCTGCTGTGCATTCTACAAAAAAGATTCCAAGAATGAGGATGTAGAAGACGAACACAACCCCCGTTCAATATATTGTATGTACAATTTTACAATTTTTTTAAAAAATTTTCATTAATGTTATTTATTTTTCAAAAAGTAATTTCGTCAATTATCTTGAAAACATTTGACTATTTATATCAATTGGAGTCATAAAAATTGGTGTGTTTTCCAATCTACCAATTTTAAAAGAAAAATAAATGGTTAATCTATTTTAATTTTGAAAAATAGACTATATACCCGTTCTATATAAAATTCTAAGATGACTCTTGTCAATAAACTTAATTTGACCCCACTGAGACAAAACAATAATAAAAGTACTCCAAAGTGGAATGTTTTACAAAACATCAAAGGTTTTAAAGATGATATAAATATCACAATTTTTGAACGATACAAATCTTTTTTATGACTCATAATCATTCCAAAGCAGGAGGTTGACCTCCTCTAGGTGAGCATTCTTTCATTTTAAGTAATACGTCCAGGATACATATACAGTAATGTACTTCAACAATTTCTTTAAAAGAAATGCATATTTTGTAAAATGAAGTTTACCAAAGCACATACAAGCAGAGCCATCTGCTGTAGAGCAAAATGGTTGCTTTCCTGAGCCACATAGTAGAGAATGACAAGAAGCATCACTGGTACAGTGACTTCTGCACACACACGATGCAGAATCACAAACTGGGAGAAGTCCATTGGAACATTTATGGTTCGAACAGTCACTGCTTTTTGAACACGTAGTTTCACACGTACATGTTTTTGTATGCCTTTGCGCAGGCGTGCACATAGCATTACTTCCTGTACATCTTGTAGAAGAACAGTCGTTAGTGCTTTGACAAACACGGCCACAGGTACACATGTGTGAAGTAGGTGAACATATAGGAGTATATCCTGATGCACATGTGTGAGGGGTACAGTCCGAGTTGGCTTTGCATGAAAGACTTCGGCAGAAACATTTATGACTTTCGCATCGCCTTTCAAATCCATTTTGACAGTATTGATGGCAATCACTATTTGTAAGACAGTCTGAAAGTTTGGATTTCAAAATTATTCTTTAATGAATACAATGTTGTATCATGCACTTTATTTTAATGAATATTTCAATTACTGTTATGTGTATTTTAACGGTTCTATAGTGTATCTTTCTTTCTACAGATTAAATCCTTAAAATACTTATATACCTGTACAGCCACAGTGACGTGATGAACAGTACGGTACCAGTCCTGTGTTACAGTAGTTTTTGGAACAAGCAGAAGATGAGGTACAGTCTCGAACATAGTTGCTTTCTAAAAGTATATTACATTGAGGCGTGCAAAGCTTCATTTTCTTTGGATTTGTACAAGTACTTATGTACTTTTCTGCCCGAACCTGTTGAATGTTGTTTTAAATCAGTTAAATTGGGAAAAGGTGTGACAGTTTTTCATGCATCTAAGGGCCAAATATGGACATATATTCACCGCTTTATATAATAACTTTATAGCTTTTTATTATATATCCGAGAAAAAATGTTCACTTACGTGTCTCACAGGTGCAGGTATGTTTGGCCGAGGTCGAACATCTTGGCATAGTGCCAGCTGAACACGTGACCTGGGTAGGACATTCAGAGTCGGCTCTACAGACTTTGTGGCACTGGCAACTACCTCCCGAACAAACGGAAGTCCTTCCTCCAGGACATGCGTGGTTATCGCATTCAGAATGCGAAGCACATGTCCTCTGACATGCGCATATGTGTGTTGTTCCATAGATTGCAGAGCACACTATGTCGCCTCCTTGTGGACAAGAGTATTTGTTGCAGTCAGAGTTATGAGCGCAGGTATATTGACACACACACTTATTGGTAGTTGTTGAACAGATGGAGCTGTATCCTGAATTGCAATGATGCCGTATACAGTCTGAATTCTTGGAGCATTCGTGTGCTGTAAGCAAGTTAATAAAGGTCTTAGCTGCAGAGCTGTACGCACATGGTTTGAAAAATTAAAATAGACAACATCCGAAATTTATGAAGCAGACAGACACATTCCTCAAACTACAGTTTGGGAACGTTTACTTCGAAATATCAAAATTAGGTCTTCAAAGTAACCCTAAATTGCTTTAAAACTTATTGCTTGACTTGTCCATGATAAATGTTAAATTGATTTGGTAAAGTGACTACGTCAATAAAGGGGAAAATCAAAGGGGGGATCTACACTACCTAGTTTGCAAAGTGATGGAGACCTAGATATCTTTTGTATGTTACATTTGCTTACCAACACAGACACAGATTCGTGCTGAGTATCCATCGATGACCTCTACCCCGCAAATTGAATGTTCCGTTTGATAGAAACACGTAGCAGGGCATTCTGTGCTGTTCGTACAAGTGAAGTACGTGCTAGAGTCTACTTTGTCATATTCAAACACATCTGCAATAAAACATGACATATTGACTTTGGATTTTAAAAGGTGGTATTAAATAAATGTGCAAAAGAAACACATGATTATTTCTTATTATCGTGCAAAAACTGCATTTCAGACCTACTTATTTTTGAAGTTGTTTGAATACTTTGAAAGCTATGACAAGCAAAAAATACTAAAAGCCAGATGAGCTAGTTGCAAAGCAACACGCTTAAGTAGGTCTTTCGTCCAATTCTCCTGGAGATGTCGGACGACTCCAGTAGCTTTATCATCAAAATTTAATATGACAAAGGAAGGTATGAGGTATTTACGACTATTTCCTGCTTGACAAGTATTAATGCAGGGGAATTGTTTGTGTTCTATTGCTATTGTTGCTATATTGTCACCCACAAATTTGCTTCTGCATATTAAAGCCATGTTTCTTTACTTTAATACTTTTATACAATGTAGCTTGAAATTTTCTTTCAGAGAAGGTGCATCATCATTGAGGTCGGAAGAATTGATGTATCGTCCTTAATGATGTCACAATATATGTATAAACGTCTGTCGCAGTATGATAAGTGATCTTTTGTTGGTCAATATCTTTACTATGCCATTAGCTTTTATCATTTAAATTCAGATTGTTATCTAATGATATCGCAGTTGCCAAAGGCATCCAACCAAATAAAATTATGTTTGTCTCACAAAGTCAAGAGGGACACCTCAGAATCTAATTCCTTGTCATTGCACATGTACACTCCTCAAAACAATTAATTGCATTATAATTCAAAGTCCCCAGTATAAACAGGTATCATATGCTAAAAATTACTGCGAAATTGTCCACTCCTGTTCCTCAAAATGAACCGAAAAATATTCAACACTCTGATCTACATGTATCATCCCACACAATACCATAGATGATAACAGTTATTAGGTGCATTTCGCAAACTTGATAATAAACTTAGAACGCTATTGTCTATGACAAAATTTTCAAAATCGCATTTAGTTAGAATCCTATTTTTAAAGCTCTTTTTCATTCAACAATTACATTCAACAGTGCAGCAAACTATTTAAAGATAAAATTAACTGGTTTTGAATTAATGATAAAGGACCTGAATTCTGTTTATATTTAGTTTGCCTTCTTTTGCCTTCTTATACATGACAGTATGTTTTCTTGCAACATATATGCATAGAGTTAAGAACTTATCAAGGTCGAATGTGTATTACTCATGATCATTAAAATTTTAAATTTAAATATAAAAAAAAAAACAGTTAAACAATCATTCATATATGGCGTACTTTTGATAAGTTAAGACTAACTAAAATTCAAAAGGTTTTCTGTGATATTTTAATTCAATATCGGTGAAAATTTGAATTCGAACGTAAATCACAAATATCGTCTAAATCTACACTCAATTTCGTATTTATATTTTTTTTAAGCTCAGATACGCCATTTTTAGCTTTAAGTTTCAAATAAAACAAACCCTGTTATATCATGTATATCGCGCACAAAGGGGAGTGGACTGAAAATGTGGAGGTACTAAATAAAAAGAAATGGTGGAGAGCATGCATTAATAATCTTTGCAAAAATACTCTGCGTTTTTGTAAGTTCTTTCTCTCTCTCTCTCTCTCCTTCGCTTTGATTCCGATATTTCATTAAAAACATTTAGAAACTCCTGTTTATGAGATAATATTCGGCACCCTGACAAGAATCCTGACATCATTTGTATTAATGAAAAGTGGAGATAGCGAACAGTATTTGAGCTCAGAACTTCATTAAACATTACAAAACAAGAGTGGAACAAACACGTTCAAGTTGTGAAAATGTGATACAGCTGTAGTTCTAGTTTTGGATTACAGATAAAATAATTGTTGGATATTACCTAAATTATCAACCTTTTATTGCATTTATTTGTTTTCATCCCCCCTCCCACCGCGCAAAAAAAAAGTCGGCCGAGATAATATCATTGATAGACATAAAATTTTGTTTTCCAAAAATACCATAGATGACAGATAGAATCTAAATGAATCTTCATAACCATAATAATAACATTTAGATGTGCTATTTACTTACGAAATCTAGTAATTAATCACCATCATCATGGAATGAAATATTATTAGATATATATTTGAATTTTCTATTTTTCTGAGTACGTATTCAATCAAAATTTCAAATGATTGTTAACTAAATTTCAAAAATCTAAAAATCTGATGATAACTAAAGATTATAATTTTCAAAAACCCGATAAAACATGACATTTTGAGAACAAATAGTGTTTGAAAACGGAATAAAAGGGGTGACTATTCCATGTCGAACGGTCGTTTACACATACTCTATAAATAGTGTAGCAGTGTGTTTTTAATTGTATATATTATGAAACATACAATATGGAATAAATAGGTGTATTATTGATATACCGGGTAAATGAAATTGAGTTTAATATAAAACTTAGATCCACCCCTTTACAAATACTTGTGAGCAAAAGACCTCTTGGGGTTCTGTCTTTAAGTTTACTTTAGTTAGAGATTTTGGCGGTGCATACAAATATAAAGAGATGTATTGTCAAATTAAAAAAAATCTATAAATCTGATGATAACTAAAGATTATAATTTTCAAAAATCCAATAAAACATGCCATTTTTAAAGAACAAATAGTGTTTGAAAATATGGTAAAGATTAACTGGTGATTTATTTATATGCTAAATATTAAATGTCGAAGAGAGATCGTTTACACATCAAAATAGGTAAAATAGAATACATGTATAAATAGGAGTTGTTGTTATCATTATTATGAACCCTTAGACAGGAGTCGATATATAAACCAAAATAATAGGAAAAAAAGAATAATAATTATTCATCCACATTATGTTTTCTACTATATGATTTTGAATTATGAGCCATTTGATGCACTTTTTTTGCAACACTCATTTGTATCATGTAAGCGAAAACGCTCGAAATACTCACGCAAAGAGATGATAAATAACAATTCCCATCTCATGGCACAGGCATACAGTTACTTAGCTATTCTTATCAATAATGTAAGAAGGAATTCAAACCAAGGCCGTGCGTGTAAAGTCCTATCAATGATTTGATAGTTTTTACTCAGGTTGCGGACATCAGCCCTGATATATATATATATATAAGAATAGAAGTGAGATACAGTTATTAAAATGTGCTTTATAAAATAATAATTAATTTCATTACAACATGTATTGGTAACAATCCTCTGTTAAAACTAATGTCCAAATAACTGTATCTCACATCTATTCTCATTGACCGTGTAGTGTAGGGCAGCGCTGCGAGAATTCCATCGGCATCGAAAGCAAGTTTTATAACTTGCCTAGATAGCCGAGCGGTCTAGCGCGCTGTTCCTGTACTGCTAGGAGACAGATTTCGAAGGTCGAGAGTTCAACCCCCAGCTGGGGCGGAAGTGGGTATCCATGTAAAAGTGAATTTCTTTGTGCTTTCTATATATATATATATATATATATATATATATATATATATATAAGTTTTCAAAGATGACGCCACGCATAATAAAAAATCATGAATAAATTTCGTATTTAAAAATCCAATTCACTTGTACTTTTATTTACATTCATTCTTTATCAAGTGTATACAATGTATATATTTGAACTATTTATAAAGCTTAGTGCGGAAGGCCATTTACATGTAGGACCCATCAAAAATATTTTTGAATTCGATAGAACAATTTGTCGAATTTTTCATAACGAATTCAGTTCATTGTAACAGTTTCTTTTGATTCCTTATAACAAATTTAATAAGTTATAACAAATTAATTGAAATCATTACAAAGAATTAAAAAAAATTGTTCCATAATATATAAAAATGAATTTGTTTACTAACATTCTATAATTTGTAATGAGAAATAAAATTTGTTTGATCAAATTTAAAAATCAGAGATTATAAAAAAAATATATATGAATTCGATGTAACAATTTATGAAATTCGGTTTAACAAATTAAATACTACGTTATATCAAGTCTTAGGATTTCTTTTAACGAATATAATTTGTTATAAAAATTTTTTGGATTCGTTAAAACAAATCAACATATTTGCAAATTCAAAGAAATTGTTGTAACGAATTAAAATCGTTCTAACAAATTCGACAGTTCGAATTCAATTTTTTTGATAAGTCCTTACTGGGTTTCCGTAGCAAGGTATATTAATTTTTTATATAAGCTTACATATGACCTGACTTATTTACAATTTTTTGTCAATCCAGTGTCTGACTCTTTGGATTTGTAGAAAAGTCCATTTAAGGTCAGACGAGACGGTCCTAAAAATTTGTTTTGTATATCTTTGTAATGTATGAAAAATATTCAAAATTTAATGACATTCTGATTTCTTTCCCAGTTTCTAAACGTTTTCAAAAACTCCAAACACTTAAACATTTGAAATTGGAAAATTATTTTTCTTCCCTAAAGGATTATATAAGAAAAACTACCCTTGATATCTTGCAGAAATGCCTGGTAAGGTACCTCAATATTTTGTGAGTAAACATGTTTAAGTAGCAATACTTCAATGACAAACTCTTAGAAAAATTTATCTATTATTAAGGAACGTCTCTTCTGTCCTTAACTCAGGTACTACCTTGGCATCATTTATTGAGTTAATCATTAGGTTTGAAAACAATTAAAGTTTTATCAACTTACTTATTAATTAACATAAGTACATATGATGCAATTGAAATAGTACATAGAAATATAAATTTTAAAAAGTGATACAAGTGAAATATACAAGTCTTGAGTTATTGCGGGGACCGTGAGGTCCACGCAGTAAAATATATAAGCGAGGTTAAACCGGATGCCCTGGGCAAACGACAGGCTACGCATGCGCGAAAATGCTAGAGAGTTCGCACCTTAGATAACTTGCCCGTAGAATAATTCGCCCTCTTTGAATTAAAATATGCCATTCACTGGCAAATCGCGCTTTTAAATTTGCATATCGCATTTACATATTCATTGCCAGATCTGATTTTCTGTCTTTTACATATACTTTTATATACAATCTAAACATTGATTCTATGGTGTAAGCATTTTAAGGAATTACAGTATAGAGTAGATACATATGTAACTTTTAAAACAACTTGAATGAAAAAACGTCACTCAACAAATAGAGATAGCTTTTAAAAGATAGAGCAAGTTTTACCGGCATTAGTTTTGTGCATCAAGGCTCGCAAAATAATCCAATATTTCAAAAATCTAAATATCAGTTGACATAGGTATAGGTCTAGCTGTAGCAACGAGGGGGGGGGGGCGCTCCGACAAAAAAAATCAGCGTACTACAGAGCTGTGCTACTCGTGAACCATCAAAAATAACCCGCGATTTTTTAAACTGACAAATCTATAAAGGTCGCTAATCGGAGATAAAATTTCACAATATTGCTTTGAGACCACAATCAGTTATAACTTATAAGTAGGAAGATCATTGTAGAAAAAGTGAACAAACCTACATGAATATCCCTACACCTAGAAATTTTCTTAATTGAATTTCAGTTTAAAAAACATACATATGGTCCACGTATTGCAGTCCTTTTTTAAAGGACAGCAACTTATATGAGGTATTTTGTTGTATAAGAATCAAGATATTCATGCTGTCCTGCTCAGTGGTAAAAAGTTGGGAGAACACTGATACATGTATATTGACAGTTTTCTTTCAATAACCTGTGTTTAAACAAGAAAAAATTCTAGCATCCCTAAAGCTAATAAGCAATGTACGAAATAACAAACTTTAAGGTAACTATGCCCATTTTTTTAATATATAGATAATTTCAAAACCTTTACTTTAGTATAAATAACACAAAACACATATCAATGTTTATTTCTGTAGTACATAGAATAAGCATGCATCGCAGAGAAAAACCTGTAAAATGTAAGTAATGGAATCAGCGTAGATCTGATGAAACCTTTGTCGTTGAAATATCCAAATCGAGTCACAGAGAAAATACCACGATTGTAGGAATTTAAAACCCAGTACATAGAATTTGTTATGACCAGAATGGTTCCACAGAAAGAAATAGTTCTTAACGACCTCCCTTGTGTTTTAAACCGGCGCGTTATTATGAACAGATGCGTTTGTAGATATGTTTCTAGCATACCAAATAACCGACTGACGATTATTGATTTGGTCAAAGTTCGACCGGAAAGTCCAGCAATGAGGCCAATTGTGAAGAAAGCCATTGTTCCCGAGGAACTTAGAATCAAAATGTATTCATTGGCAGTCAAAGGCATCTGTGAATCGTTGCAATATTTTTGCATCACGTGAGTACAAATACAGACCAACACACACGTACATATTGCACTGAAGGCTTCTGTATAGTCCATTATTATAATTACAGATTCATTTGTCCACTTGTAAATCACAGCAGATAGTAACATTGACAAACATATTGGCATGTTTAACAGGATTCCTAGTATGGGTGCAATGGCTTTTGTTCCAGCTGTATGAGCACTTGTTTCTGTTCTGAAACTGGCATTAACTTGTGTTTCATCGTCTTCGTTCCAGTTTATAGCTTCATGGTGGTACCTCGACTGAGAATGTCTGTCTGAATTGGCAGTCATTTTCAACGATTTATGCCAAATTGATATAAGGAAAATTGATGCTAAGATACCAAACTCAACTCTTGGAGGCAGGAGAAAGGGTGCTATTTTCCTGCTTAGATTGTTATGTATATAGGAATTATAAAAACATGAAGCGTTTCTGTACTCAGATATTCGGTGACCAGTTGTTATATTGTTAATTACAGTGTTGTACCAAATAGAGAAATTTGCCAAAAGAATGCATACAACAGAAATATTTACAAATCTTGAAATTTTGAATAAAGAGTACCGGTAATAGGTAATCAATACCATCTGAAGTATTACAAACAATATCATAATAATGCTTGTAAAGATAGAGAAGGAAACGTGCGTGATTTGTTCCATCTGGCCTATGCACTCTATATACACAAGCAGGTTTACACTGAAGTGAAGCAGATCAGCTAGTCCAAAAATCCATAAGAAACATAAACGCAAGAACAAAGATGGCTCCTTCATTTTGTTCCATCGATTATCTCCTGAATTTTGATATCCACAGGCAAGCAAAATTATAGAGGACATCAATCCACTTAGGGAACACATCATAACTACGCACCAATTGACAATATCAGAAGATTCACTTTGGTCCTGTTCTGCAGACAGTAGTCTCAAAGTTACCATGAGACCTGCAAGGACATGGCTCAGAGATAATATGGAAGGAGCCAAATCTCGTTTGTTTCTCTGTTGCAAATGATCACTTTGCAAGGAAGAAGGAGAAATTGGTAGAGAAAGAACTCTCAAGGCATATCTGAGTTTAGTTTCCATAGTGTTGGCTTCTTCAAATTGAAATATGCATTTGTTTTCTTCCTTTTATCAACTAATATATATATATTTATTTCCTCTCTTTGTTAACTTTGAACAAAATATTTAAATTCAACTTCATGTTCCGTATTTTAGAAATATCTTGCTAGAGCTATTGCAACAGGTAAATAAAAACATCCTGGTATTCTACATGTTAACTCGATTTACCCCAGTGAACTCTAAAATAAAAGCACTACAGTCTGCAGGATCTGCTTCATACTTAGATATAAGCTTACTATAGTTGCAATACCCAACAAACCACATAATTTGGTATCAAACTGGAAAACTGTAATTTTTCATTAGTAATAATCAATCCACAATCACCTGCTCATGGTATATATGTTTCCAAACTGCTGTAGTACTCAAGAACATTTTCTGAATACCATCACTACTAAAACGGAAGCAAGCTTCTGATGAATATGTCGATATTTGTCATATAAGACTGTTACCTCTGTCTTGGGTCATTATAATGAATTTGTTTGCAAATACAACCTATTGTTTCCCATCAATGGTCAAGCCATGGTTTTTCAACATATAAATTCTTTTGAATATACTCCATATTTCTCAACAGTTCAGAGGGACAACAACAGGTGCGACGGTCGATAGCAAAATCTTCCTCCTCTTTGGCACCTGATGATATTACATGTGTTTTCAGTTTTCCGTGTTTATACTCTATTCATGACTTTTATACTTAATTAGTTGTATCAGACTGAGCCTTGTCAATGGGCGTTGATTCTACTTTTCCTTCTAATTTTGAAACATAGAGAGTAATAAACTTATTGCAAACTGATCTGCAAATCAACAAGAAGTGAAAAAGAAGAAAAAAACAAGTTGTGTTTGTGAAACACCATGCGTCCGGCGACGACAAAGTTCTAAAAAAAAACCCCCTATTTTTAGCATATAGTTCAGATTCAAAGTCACAGTCATTGAACTTGGTGCCATTTGGAAGAACCAAATTAGTTCAGTATGCATACCAAATATGAAGTCTATCTTTCATGGTTCAAAAGTTATGGGGAAGGTTCAAGCAAGCTATTTTTAGCATATAACAGCGTGTCACTTTGCTTGATCAACCGTGGTACAAATTTCACAAATTGATTATCATATCATTCATCAATTGGATGTTTGATTTTAATGAAATCAATACTACTTTGCATATAATGATTGTATTCCAGCACGGCATTTGTAGTCACCGGTAACACGTGGTCAGTCTTAGCCCGTTTACTGTCCCCCCAAAACGCATGTGTTATATTTGGTGTGATTTGACCGAATTGAGTTAATTTGATACGTATGAGAATATTTAAAGCATGGAATAAGTAGGGCTATAATATTATAATAGGTATTATATTGTATATAGCGATCAATTCCATCATTATACAGTGTTATAAGGATAAAAACTTGCTTTGCCTGTCCACATGTGATTATTGTTTACTGCATTCTCGTGAACATTATTCCATACGTGGCTGGATTCTGTATTTCATATGCAAGTAGTATTGCTTTTATTGAAAACATACATCCAATCGATGAGTAATATGGTAATCAACATGTGAAACTTTAAACAAGCAAAGAACGCTGTTATTGGAATGATGTGTTTTACAGTGAGATAAGGTAAATCATTTAGGAAATGTAGCTATATAATTTCTGGTAAACATAGAAGTTATGTTGTGTTTTAGCTTTCACCATTCTGAAGAAGTGTACTTCAATCTATCTTGAATTCATTTAAACTTTTTGATAAGCATATATTCTCTATGATATAAAGTTTCCTATAGTCATGTAGTAAAATTTCTTCTTAGACAGTCAAATATATTTGCATGGGAAGTGGGACTATATTTTATGGCGTCAGCTTAGCAAATGGGGAATCAACATGGCTTTAACTGACAAATCAGCTGAATGAGAATTGCATTATGGGTTACTACGGGTACTACAGGAATTTACGCTTGATAAAGCAAATCTAATGGCGACCAGAAAGGCACAAAGCACATTTCCCCACCCATTTCATAGAGCAACTTCAATTGTTTCTTTTTTGTTTCCTTTGTTGTACTATTGGTGAATACAATTGTTAGTTGGATTCCTTGGCCAAAACACGTGATAACGAGTAGGAAAAAGAAATGTTTGTCCATTTAAATACTGCTGCTCGTTTCCTTTTCTCTGAAGCTCTGGTGTTCTGAACTTGAAGCAAACTACATTTTAGCATGCATATTTTCTAGTTAACAACATATTAAAACGCTGCTGACAACTTTAATAGTTCCCAATCTTTGTATTTTTTCATAAGAATATTTTTGCGGTCCTTTGATATCAATCATAGATTGACCTGAACAACGTGTTCGAAGTAAAATGTAAACATGCATAGTCGGCGTAAATGTTGCTATTCATTTAAAGGCCGGTATACATGATGAGATTTGTAGTATGATACAAGTATTATAATACTTTCTTGTACTCACGCTAATACACATGTACATCTTAAAAGATTGTAAATTTATAAATTACGTTTTCCAACGTGTATTCCCCGTCATATTTCTCTCTCTGTCAAAAATTATAATATAAATGGAAGGTGAGGTTCTGATAGCGGTGTCTATCATCTTTGTATATTCTTTCCCCCTATAAAAGATTTTTCCGGTCTTTATTTGTCTTTACTTGAAAATTCGACCATTATTATTTACCATGTGCTTTATTTAGTAATTATAAAAATAGGATGACCCCTAGTGTCAGTACATTTCATTGGTTAAAAGTGATAGGTAAGTTAAGACTTGTATTAGGAAATAAAATGTTTTGTAAACATAAATCTTATGATACACTGTATTAAGAGAGTATACACAATAAGATATTGTATTATAATACAAATCTTATAATATAAATCTTTTCGTGTATACCGGCCTTAACGATTGGTCAGTTGTGCGTGGTAAGATCTGCTGTGAGCATTAATAGCAATAGCCATATAAGGCGAACAAAGCTTGGTCAGTGTAAATGAAAATATACATTTTTTCTAGAACGATATCGGGCGATCTAGGAAAATATTGTGTCTAGAGAGTAAAATTGAAGTATATTGTTTTAACAGGCCCCCTTTATACCCACCCAATCATGAAAATCTTTCAGAAAGGTCTAACACAGGAAAGAACAAAGAAAAATAACCCCACATTTTTCATAGGACGTGTTTTCAAGAGAAACAGACTATAACAATTTCCTGTTTACTGCAATTTTTTTTTTATAAAAGCGGTTCTATCGTATAACCTTTGAATGGGTCAACCTAAACCACGTGGCTTGAATTTAGATGACAATAACATTAGTAGGAGTGAAATAGACACCGAGACAAGACAAAAAGCAATATACGCACCGTATGTATCGATCCGGACGCATAAAAATCTGAAAAAAAAACACAACATTTAACAAAATATCTAAGTCAAGTGTGATATTTTGTCTACTTTTAAGTAATTATTTAAGTACATGTAGAACCTATGCGTATGTTCATAAAAATATTTTGTAAAATGTGAATAATTTTGACCTTTACTCAGCACTTAAGGCCATTGTGCAGTGAGAAATCCTTATCGTGCATGTCTACTGTTACACGGGGCTTCAGTTTGTAAGGTCTCATCAAAAGGACCAAAAATGCTACTTCGAGGTGCCGAACGACTGGGAATGGATACCACATTTTAGGTCAGTTGCGGCCGAGATTCGAACTCATGATCGTCCGAACGCGGAGCGGTTGATCTACCGACTGAGCTAACGTGATGGTATATCGATGAATGAAAGGGATTTCTAAATCAAATAAATCTTTACTTATTCAAATATTCTTTCCTTCTATAAATTGTGTTCAAGTTATTGATTACATTGTATTGACTATGTTATATATCTTATTTTCAAACAATTTAATGCAAAAGTTAACAGGTACAAAAAAGTTAACAGGTTATAATAAAGGCTGTATTTGATTAAAACTGGATAAAAAATTTACTTTATGAAACATTCAAAGCATATAATGTCTTACATATTGGGGTAAGGAATTTAAAAGACCATATTTTTCTTCAACAATACAACTTTAAATAGAAATGGTAAACTGTGTTTGAAAAACGTATATTTTTGGCAATCTGCTTGAAAATATCGTTAAAATTATAAATTTTGTACAAATTGAAGTCATTTTGTTAATAATGAAGGACTAAACTTTCAAAATATATCAAATAAAGATTTTTTCAAATAAACTAACAAATGAATAAAAATTAAATTATAAGCTTTTTGTTTTTGTATCATTTTGTACATTTATAATACTACTTTATTTTAAAATACGAAAAAGTTAAATATAACATATGAAAATAACTAATAATCCTAAAAAATTAAGAAAAACAGTTCGGATTAATCAATATCCAGTTTTAAATTATTTATGTAAATTTGGTAATATCGCTATAGACCTTAAAAAATTTTTTATGCAAAAAGAACAATCATTAAACTTTTGAAATAAAAGTAGGTATCACATGATTGAAAAAATAAACGACCTTGACCTACCTTGCTTCTAATATAAAACGAAATTTAATTTCACTGATACTTTCACTTACTGATATTGTCTTCTTGATTCTGTGAAAATTTCATTAATTTTTAAATATTAGAAATATGAGAAGAATCCTACCTTACAAATCAGAAAGTTTAAACAACGAGTTAGAAATGAAAAGCTGATATTAATCAAGGTATTCAAGGGAACAAAGATTAATTGTAATCTTATCTACTTCCTCATGTTCTTTGCGAAAGTACATATCTGATATTATTAAGCTGTTCAATACCTAAAAGATAAAAAAAAAACTGTCAATTTTTGCTGAGAAAACAAATAAGCAGAAGCAATAAATAATTTGTATAAAACTAAATAATTCATGTAGATAGATAAGAGATAGATAAGATTGATTGATAGCTGTTGGTGTTGTAAAAGTATGATAGGTTTTAATTTTTTGCAATCTTGCATCAAGTGGTGGAGACTTGAGTGAAAGAAATTCGCAGAAGGGTTAAGGAAGATATATATTAATTAACATAATTACAGAAGATAAGTGAATTAAAAGAAATCTTTTAGTTTAAGTGAAAAACACCTTGCTTATTTATAATTTTAGTGTAAATGCCTGTATTATATATAATCTTTTATATATTTAATTGATTATAATTATCATCACCACTTGGCAATTCTATTGTCAAGCACGTTACTTTTTATTCCAATTATCAACTGTCATATATCTTAAAACAAGGAAGTAAATATCTGGAGTTTTGTTTTTTCAAAACCTCGGAAAGTATTGTAAGAAGATAAAATGTTCATTTTAAATTACGACTCCAAAAAGGAAGAAGTTATGTTTCATTCTTTTTTCCTCTTAAGCAATTTTTTATAGGAGTCGCCTGAAAGTGGTGTACTATAAAAATGATAAAGTTTGTCAAATCTGCCATTCGGATTATTTTGCAACCAATATTACCGAGTGCAAACCGACAAACAATTCGACATGACGGAAGAGTATCATCATACTTATTTTTATCACATGTGTTGGCAGGTTTCTTTGTCATTTTTGGAGTGTTATCTGCAGAAAGAAATGTCATTGATACAGTTATTACCAGCAAATGGACTGCCCTTACTGTATGCATCATATTTGGATTACTCTCCATTCTGTTTTTACTGTTTTCCAGTTGTCGGCGAAGGCTTGGGATGAGCTCAGATATTATAGAAAAAGATCCTTCCGTGAATTTGCAGTTGGGATTTTTATGGATATTCGGACTGGCAAATATGGTATACTTGAGCATTAAAATAATCATTTATTTCGAATGCTTGGTAAAAACAACAAATGATGATGCTCACAATACATTTTTAATATTTTCCAACATAATTTACTTAGTATTTCTGATCTTACAAACCGTTCTTCTTACGTATAACAAAGAAGCACAATTTCAATCAACATTTTTTCTTCATTTTTCAATTGCCAGTATCCTCGCTGCAAACTTTTCTATATGGTATAGTTCTACCATAAACAACATGTTTGCACAGGGAAATACAACACACTTTCAAAATAGGTCATGCTTTCATGCCTCGGAAATTCAAAAATTATTGGGACGGAATTTATCTATAATGCTGCTACCACCACAGCTTGAATTTTGCATTCTTGCGTCAACCTTACTGGTGTCTCTGTGGCAAAATGCATCCAAATTACAAAGTTTAGGACAAAGTTCTGCATTTTCTGAAATACACAGTGACAATAACACCACATTTAACACCAGAAAAATGGATGGTTACGATGTATTAGCTCTTATATTTGGGATATTTGTTAACCTTCCAATTCTTATATCGACTGTCCTTTTGGATTTTGTGTATGAATGGAAAAATAAAGATCTTATTATTGTCCTAGACTGCAGTGAGACTCTCAGTGCGTTATGCACATGTATTATTGTATATGTATGCTGTCAAAAACTGAAGAGTTACTCAAATTCTGTTAGAAAACAAATGATTTTTCGAGAATATATTTTAATTCTTAGTTCAACAGGAATCATGGCCTATTTTACCTTTGGATGTTTAGCAAGTATGTCTGGTTTAACTCTATCAAAGTCTACAATTGTTAGTCGTATTTTTGGAATATTGGAAACATTCTTGCAAACATTGCTTTTGGTAAGTTATCATCGCTATACACTTCGAGAATATGGTTCAAAATGCATCGCTGCCTGTGGAATGATTCTGGTAATCACCAATCTTATGTACTGGCTACAAGACTCTTACAACAGAAACATTTTTACCAAGACTCGCTACATTGGTTTTATCGAATGGCACAAAATGGAGATTCTTCTTGTGCCCCTGATGGTATTTTACAGATTTTTTTCTGCAATGAGTGCATACTCTATGTACAAGAAATTTAAATCTTATGAAAATGTAATGTAAGACGGTGCTATGACTGTAATCCTCTATTCCTTTGAAATAATTGAAAAATAGATAGTCAGATCAAAGTTATTTTAAGAACAGTATTTTTATCTAAGATAACATGAATTAATACCTGCAGAACTTTATTTCTACTTTAACAATTTTATATAATGTTGTTCATTGAATATTTTACTGATTGCAATTTATTGTTAAAAAGTTCTGTATCCAGTTTAAAATACTTGTTAAAAAAACTTTGAAATACCATTGTCGATTTTGTTTGTCTTAGAATTTTTAAATATCCAAAAAAGACTATTGACTTTTTTGTTCGAAGATATAGTTAACTTTTTTCTTTATGTTGTAAATAGCGTATTTGATGCTAAAAATAACCAAATTAAGAAATGAACTATAAACATTATTGTGGCCCTTCCCTCACACTGTCAAAAACATTCAATATGCCAATAAGCCATCAAACAATAAAAGGGTGAAATATAGGAGAAAGAAATCAGAATATTTTTTCTTTTAAGGAGGGCTCATTTGACTTTGGCGCCTGTAAGTAACATTTTTAAAATTCTTGATTAAATTTAATAATACATAACATGAACCCCCTCAACTAAGGCTCTTTGGACTTTAGTGAATCGTAGTATTAATTATAAATGTACATGAAAAATGACAGATAATTGAATAGGATTGTTTCAAGAGAATTTGGAAGGTTTAGTATTTTTATTGATATAGCTGTATTTTGTGGAAATGAAAAAAAAACTCCCAGAGCTAATATTGCGTATATGATAAAGATTTCCGCCCCGGCCTCAGTCAGGAAATGTAACTCCTATAATTACTATTGAATTAATTAAGTCTTAAAACAGAGCTTGACATTGAAATCTTTTTTAGTAACAATTTTCATTTTCTTTATCTTAATATGATCAAATTGCAAGGCTTTTGGAATCTTCAAAATGTATTGTAAAAATTAGACTTTTAATTAATTGATATAAAGAACAAAAAGAAACACATTTTAAGGAAATCGATTTTCCTTTAATCTAACCTTATTTGCAATGGTAAAAATAAGAACTGATGCTTGATGTCTTCCAATGATAGCACGAGATTTTCAAACAATGTTTTATATATACCGGTAACAATTGAAGTATTAGGCGCGTGGAGACCGGCCCTTCATATGATACCATATAAACCGAGTACCTGAAAACTATCCCTCACTGCTCAATGGCCATGAGTGAAGAGTGTAGGTAAAAATGTACAGCCCTCCACTTAAAAGTGTTTGCGTCTCTAGTGAAAAAATTCTCGAGGCGAGGGCGTTAAACAACAACCAAAAATGTTGTACCAGAGTTATTTCTAGAAACTTATGGGTTTTTTTAATTCTTATATAATTTGTTGTTAGAAAATGGTTATCTGTTCTCTTTATTCTCATTTCCTGAAATTAATACTACATTTCAAAAAGATTTATATATTTATATATTTTTATTCGTATAATGATGGATCTTGAGAAAACACTGCGCGTAATACACAAAATAGAGTGAATTCAGGCATTTCAAATTGCCGAACAGATGAGTTTTAGTGATCTAAGGATTAAATGACCTTAAACAGAGTAAAATGAAAATTAAAAGCGCTATTATATATCTATTTTTACAATTCATAAATGAAAAACTTCCGCATATCTAAAAATATATGGCTCACGGCGGTCAACAGGGGATGTTTACTCCTCCTAAATCTGGAATTGTCATATGTCATACCCCCCCCCCCCCCCTCCCCCCTTCAAGGTTCAGTTGGTTTTTTTTTTTTTATTAATAAGTTCAATACGAGTTGAACTGCCTCTTGAAAATATTTAGACAATTAAAGAATATTAGAGTCTAATTGATAACTACTTAATGCAATTCGGAAAAACATCAATCTAACTATAATATTTTTAACTCATATTGAACTTTTTAATCATATGATATTGGTGAACATTAATTTGTACTGTTAGGACATAATGAAATGTTTAAAAATTATCTTAGTAAGGACATAATGAAATTCAAAAAATAGAGAGGTCACTGTCCTCCAATGCTAGCAAATGTCATTTCATTTAGATTTAATTCTTGATTCTAAATCAAGGAAGTTTCATAAGCATATTCTAATGAATTTCATAAATGTTTACAATAGCAATGTAAATTTTCCTAATAAGAAACCTAATGCTGGCAAAAGGTTTAAATTTTGAATATGCCTTAAAAGAGAATAAGTTAAGAAGGGTACATTTTACAATAGAGTGACAACTTTATTCTGACATCTGTTTTAAAAGAAAGCTGATTCATGTTGAAAAACAGAACTTTTTTTGAAGGGAGGTGATCAAAATAATTTTAAAACTTCCTTATTCAGATAAATCCAACTTAACAGTTCTATAATTAATAACGTTTACTTTATGATTGCTTTGATACCTCAAAGACAAAAAAAGTGTTTTTGACTTAATGAGTATGATAATTAATAGCATACCTACAGCTGTACTTACATAACTTTAACATTATTTTAAGATTAATATAATTAACTCCTCGGTAGTATAGTGGTAAGTATCCCCGCCTGTCACGCGGGAGACCGGGGTTCGATTCCCCGCCGGGGAGGATGACTTTTTACTTTAGTTTCTATATAAGGTTTTATATAATATTTAAACTCACAAGTCAGAGCCGTAATGAGAACTTTAGTAATTATTCTTTTCCGTATTGTACTATTGTAATAGTGAGAACAAATTTGTTTATTATAAAATATTGTGAAAGTTAAGATTCTGTTTCGCCTTTATTGATACATTTTGATAAACAGGAGTCACATGGAAGAATGGATTGCATATTAAGCTTAATGTTAACCTTTTATTTGATTAATGTTAATATTTCCAAGTTAAATAGTAAAATTAAATATTTGGCTGATTTACAAACGTTCATGTTCAAATTATATTTTTGGAATAAACGTTCAATTTTCAATTGATATATTAAAATCTGTTTGTTTGCTTAATGTCCTTTCGAGGAACATCCATTCATATTCAGATGGCATAACGTAAAGTAAAATCAGGTTTATGGTGATATATTGAAACAATAAAGTTTATGAAAGTTTAAATATGAAAGTAGAGAGGAAAGTGTACACTTGAATACGAAGAAATATACAGTAAAGGAAAAAAGTGGCACAGTGTACATAGTGTTAATGATTAGTCGGATTTGTCTAACGATTGCAAACAATATTTACAACAATCACCATGGAAATATTTACGGTAAAAGTGCCCACAAAGAAAAAAAAAATTATTCTTTAGCTCTAAATTATTTCTTTAATATAAATACTTGGGAAGTATTTTACTGGTTTATTAAACGAATGAATTCTCACGACGGGAATTATTTTACTGGTGTATTTATGGAATGTTTTGGGGGTTGTTGTTGTTGAATTTTTTTGAAAGCCTTCATGTCAATCCCCCTTTTTCCATGCTCCAGTATTTCATTGCGAAAAAAAATCTATGATTAAAGATTTGTTAAAAGGATATCCATTCAAAATTATTTTCAAATATTTCCGTGCATGAAGATCAAAGAATTTCAATAGATATAAAGTATACGCGAAAAATAAATTCCAGTCTAATTGCCTATTCTCAATTTGTTGTTATACTTAAGTATTCTGGTCTTGGCTTCTTCTTTTTTTATAAATGACTGGTCTATTAGAACAGCAAACGGAAATTATGTATCGGAAATAAAGTTTCATTGCATATTTGTTATATATTTCAAGCCGTATATTTCCTGTTCAGTTGTTTAGAATACGAATGCCTCCAATTAAAACGAATAAAAAAATGTGCTAATATACTAATGTCATTTAACGGGACAAATTAAATTGAAAAACCAACAGAGCGATTAAGGTACGTTTATTTTTATATAGTTAATTAACAGAGTATATCTGTAAGTACGTTACATTTTGATTGTTTCTAATATATAGATAATTTAATTCAACATTTTTTTTATTTCAATCGTAACAAGTTTTTTATGTGCATACTAGGTATTTCAGCTGAAACAAAGTGATACAATTATTTCAAACACAAACACGGAAGTATTTTTAAAAAACTAAAAAAGTCTCTCTTTTTGACTGTTTATTAGTAACACAGAATGATGAAGGGAGATAGAACCAGGAAATACTTTAAAGTCAACTACTGAAAAAAGCAACATGTTCTTTGGATTTTGTTAAACAAATCGTGCAAATCGCTTCAAAAATGGGAAATCTTATAAAATCTGCATATAGGCTTGTATTACAACCTATATTCCCCCAAAAAACAGAAGAGCGTGAAGCAAAGAGTGACGGACGAGTTGCATCTAAACTGTTCTTGTCCCATATTTTGGCTGGACTTTTCGTAATCTTTGGAGTAATATCAGCAGAGAAAACTGTGGATGAAACTGTCGTTGTTGGGAAGTGGGCTGTGCTTACCGTTTCTGTTACCATTGGTTTGATCTCTGCAATGAGTCTGCTGATTTCAAGATGTCGCAGAAGACATGAATCAAATGTTGAAAATGTTTACGAGGATCCTTCTGTGAATTTACAGCTTGGATTCTTGTGGATATTTAGTCTGGCCTTCGCCACGTACTTGAGCTTAAACATTATTATTTTTCTAGAATGTGTGATAACAAGACCAGATGATATTGCCTTTAATTCATTTTTACTGGTCTTTAATCTGTTTTTCTTTCTGTTCATAGTCTCACAAATCGTTCTTCTTACCTGTAATAAAGGAACGCAGATGGAATCAACGTTTCATCTTCATATTTCTATTGTTTGTATACTTGCTGCAAATTTTTCCATATGGTACAGTTCAACAATACACAGTATGTTTGCAAATGGGAATTACACCCACCATTATAACAATTCCTGCTCTCATGAGTCAAAAGTCCAAAAATTATTAGGGAAAAAAGTGTCTTCCATGCTATCACCTCCTCAGTTAGAGTTCTGCATCCTTGCTTCAACCCTTCTTGTTACTCTTTGGCAAAATGCAATGGAAACCCAAACTTCAGAACGACGTAATACATATAGTATAGCTAGCGGTGATATTTATGAAAGAAATACTAATGCTACCTTCAAAGGAGTAAATGGTATTCACATCATAGTTCTAATATTTGGAATTTTTATCAATGTTCCAAATTTTGTTTTGACAGTTCTTCTGAATTTTGTGTATGAATGGAAAACCAGAAATGTACTTATCGCATATGACATTGGTAACAGTTTCATTTCATTAACCACGTGTGTTATCGTGTATATATGTATCCATACACTCAAAGCAGATTCAAAGTATACCAGGAAACCGCTAATTATACGGGAATACATCTTGATTTTAAGCTCAACAGGAACTGTGGCATATTTAACTTTTGAATTTTTAGCAGGAGTCTCTGGATTTGTCTTTTCGAGATTTATCATTCTTAGTTCCATAACCGGAATGCTTGAAACCTTTCTCCAGAGTTTGCTGTTGATTAATTCTTTTCGTTACACAATGCAGCGAAATACGTCAAATGTGATATCGTCTTGTTCAATTATACTCGTTATCACAAATTTGACATTTTGGCTGGAGAATACCTACAACAGCAGCATCGTTGCACTGACCCGTTACAATGATCGTAGCAACGTGAATTATGTGGATATCATTCTTGTCCCCTTGATGATATTCTACAGATTTTTTTCTGGAATAAGTGCTTATTCAATGTATAAAAGATTTAAAATAACATAGCTGATTAACCATAATAAATGTTCGTTTGATTAGTTTTTACATTTTACATTTGACATTGAACATTTAAGTATTTTAGGACGAAGAGTACGACTTCGAACCTTTGAGGAGTATGACAAAAATCAAACTTTTCTTCAACAGCATTTTATTTACATATAATTTGTAATGTAGCTTTTGCATATATTTTCAAATATCTATGTAAAATGAATTACATTAACATGAAAGAAAACAAATAAAAATAATTATAAAAAAGCATGAAAATATTTTAAGTGAGAATATATCTTTACATGTGCCATAAAGTTTAAACTCCAGATAAGAAATTGAACTACATGTACATAAATTAGTAAATGCAATTTCAAGTACTTATATACATTCCCGTAAAGGGCGTTATTACCAAAGAAACGTCCTAACAATACTTGTCAGTTAAAAAAATATATTGAATTATTACAAGTACTGTAAATCACTTTTTATTCGCGAGAACTTTATTTTCGCGTAATTTCGCGAGTGTGCTCGCGAAAATTTAATTCTCGCGTATAATAGTATTCCTTAGGAATAATAGTATTCCTTAGGATTATATAGAGCAATAACCACAATTCGTGAAAATTTTGTATCGCTTATCAAGAATCAATGCCTATCTCGCGAAAATAAGGTGTCGCGAAAATTAATTGATCTACAGTACTCTGAAGTTGACATCAAAAAGATGCTTGAGTTTCTGATTGACAATATCTATGTGGTTTTATGATACCAGGTCTTCCAACAATATATTGGAATTCCCATGAGAACCAATTGCGCTCCATTATAAGCAGACTTATTTTTGTATTCATATGAAGCAGAATTTATGCAAAATCTTATGAGTGAAGAGAAGAAAACACTTGCTGTGGCCTTCAACTCGACCTTCAGATATATCGACGACGAAATGTCAATAAATAATGGTAATTTACATTCCTGCGTCGATACGATACATCCAGGAGAACTTGACACAAAAGATACAATAAAGTCTGACACATCTGTTTCATACTTGGATATTTTACTTGAAAAAGACGTTAATGGTAACCTAACAACCAAGTTATATGATAAACGTGACGACTTAAACTTTTCTATCGTCAACTTCCCTTACTTATGCAGCAATATACCTTCATCACCTACATACGAAGTGTATATATCTCAGCTGATTCGATACGCAAGAGCATGCTCTACGTATGAACAATTTCTGAAACGAGGTAAATGATTGACAAGCAAGTTGATGAAACAAGAATATCAGCAGTCTCGTTTAAAGGCATCATTTCGTAAGTTCTATGGTTGATACAATGACCTTGTCAGCAAATACAATTTATCATTGAGTCAAATGCTGACGTTTTTTATACCAATTGTTAGTCCATTATTTATACACTGACTTGACGACGGATTTTTTCGTTATTTCACGATCATGACAAGGAGCACCAGGCGAGTGTGACCGGTCAGCAGGGGATGCTCACTCCTCCATGGCACCTGATCCGATCATTATGTTTCGGAGGTCCGTGTTTGCTCTGCTCCTATTTTGTATTGTTTTATGGACTTATGGATATTGAATACTGTTTGTTATCTCCATATACTTCCTTTGTAAATGTAGATTGATAGATTAATTGAGAATATGTTGTTATATTTACATTTTACATTTACATTTCTTTGTCTTAGAAAAAACTACAAATAGTACAAATTATTTATTTCTACAGAAAGAACATGGATCATTGATGGGCGTGGTTAAAAAATTACTTGCGTTGCGGCAGAAATAGAGACGAAAGCATAAATTATAGCACGTGAATTTGCGGAATCAAGAACATGCAAAATACAGAATAACTGTCAGCTTTTTTGGTTTTCTGGTGATGACCAAAGATTGGGTAGCGTGATAATCTATCACGCAAGTAATTCGATTGATCACATCATGAAACCAAAACATCTGACAGTAATTCCTCAGTTACGTCCAATTCAGAAATTTTTTTCTCGCATATAGAGATATATATATTATGATTTTAATAAAGGTAAATGATCTGATGAAAAAATTAAAAAATCGGTATCTATTCTTCATTAATTGTATTTTCTATAATAAATTGCTCGATATTATTGTATCGATTCTAAAAAATATCTTTTTTTTAAATCATACTTTTAAAAAAAAATCTATTAATAACATTTATTAAATTTTTAAGATGTTAATTAAAAAATAAATAAAAACTGTTTTATCATGATCTATAAATATATTTTGCAACAAAGTTGGGATCTAAACAAGCAATCAAAAAAATTAGAAGAAAAAATTTGCCTCTTTTGAAATATTTACAGGATTTATGGATTATGACACATTTTTTGACATTTTATCACAGAGACTATCGAGAATTTATTTTAGTGGATTAGACCGCCATCAAGGGTTTAAGTCAATTTTCATGTATTGTCAACATAAACTGAGCAGAAACAAAGAAGACGAAAGTTAACCTTATTATGTGTGTGTTTCGATAAAATACAATTATTTTAAAAGATATAAATAAAAAAGTTTGGGTTTTTTTGGTTTGATGTCAGTACGGTTCAAGTACCCTTCTGTGTCTTCATAATGGTACACTTGATGGGATGGCGTCGCTCTGTCTCTTTAAATGTTTCCCTTTAATGTCCATAGTGTTTTCCTTGTCGTCACTTGTATTAACCACTTGGAAGCATTAGAAATACGGAAATATTAATTCTGTTATTTTTATCCTGCTTTTCTTGTATTTTAGTTCTGTTTTTTTTCTGTCAAACCCATTTAAGAATCTATTCAATCGACAATCCAAGAACGCCTGTCTAGCTCTGGCCAAGGGTGTGTTTTCTCGTAGCCGATTTAGACATACTGCAGCTAGACGCGGTATCTTTTTTTACGTTATCCTCTCGACTAGAAGACCACCATCCTTTACTAAAACGTAAACTATTTATAAACATTAGAACTTTGAAAGCACGATTCACAGCCGTATTCATAAGAGGCAAGTGGATTTATGTCCTTTACTTCACAATTTTTGGGAAAATAGTGGAAAATCAGCTTTGTGACCACATCCCCATTTTGGCTTTTATACAGTATCTGTCATAGGTTTAAACTGTGTCATTCAGTAAATTAAAAATGATAAATGAAAGGGGCTGAATAGCAAAGTCCTGCATTTTAAACATATTTCGTTTATGAATGGACTTAGTTTAATCTAAAATTTTCTTTTGTTTCCAGAGATCTGTTGATTTTAAAAAATATTTAAAGCTGACAGAAGATATTAAAAAAATTCCTACTTAGAACAGTAGATATGCGTATAGATTGAATTGTAACTTGTAGATTTAAATTCTATCCCCTCTTAAATTATTGAAATAATTAACTTTGTGAAAAAAGACAAAGATGTTACCTGCTTTGTTAGTTAGGATCAGAACAAATTGATCCTGTAATTTATTCCTAAGTTATTGGGGAAAGAAGGATGCATGGTTTTAAATTTCCGCAATATTTACTCCATTTATATCATCAAAAACGGCTTTTTTTCCCAATGTAATCTAAACTTTCCTAATTAATATTTCCGTATTGTTCATCTGTTAAAATATCATTTCAAAAACACTTGAAGATATTATGTCTTATATAATGTATCATTTAATGTGATTCAAAATAAATGATTATATCGAGAGGTACATTATTAGTTGTAAAGACGGTAATAAATTTGAAAATCCGACAGAAAAGCGAAATCATTACAGTTGTGTCGATATCCATCCAAACATATGGAGAGCTACACGTATGAATAATTCATTCTATGAGATGCATTTTGTTTTTGGGTATGGAGTTTTTACTTATCTTTTCATCGTTAAGCAAATGTATATTATCTTTTGAAAATATGCCATCAAATTAAAGCATTGTTCACATTTACACATCCCTCTCCCCTTGCAGCCCTAACATGGTTCAAGATTTACCATTATCAGTTTATGTAAGTAATTTATAATAAAGTTGTTTCTACAAAACAAGAATTTCTAATTGAATGATGAAATAATTCTTTTTTTTATTTTGTATTTATTCTAGTTCAAGGCAAAGTCATAAGTGAAATCAAAAAGTCAGGCGCTTTTTCAACAGGATCACGGCAGTATGAAAAACAATATTGGAGAAAATAAAATCTCTTCGTAACCGTGAACTTTTCAGTAATGTCTTTAGTACAACAAAAACTACATCTACATGTATTACTCCACTGGTCACTGAAATAAGAAAATATAATTGAAGGAAGAAAGTTTCCTTTGTTAATTAATTTATGTGAATTATCAAGATGAAACTTGCACTAGAAATCATGATTATCCTTAAATCTGCCTGTAGACTTATCTTACAACCGATATTTTTAACATCAATCAAACATGGAAGTGACCATGATGGACAAGTTGCATCAAAATTGTTTTTGTCACATGTGTTGGCGGGACTCTTCGTTATTTTTGGAGTAGTGTCCGGAGAAAATACTTCAGATGACACTGTTGTTCTTGGTAAATGGGCTGTCCTTACTGTATCTGTTTCCTTTGGGTTGATCTCTATTTTGAGTTTACTGATTTCAAGTTGTCGTAAAAGACAAATAACTCAATGTGGAAATACTAACGAAGATCCGTCAATACATTTACAACTAGGGTTCTTGTGGATATTCAGTCTGGCCTTTGTGACGTATTTGAGCCTAAAAATAATTATTTTTCTAGAATGTGTCGTAACAAGACCAGATGACACTGTTTTTAACTCATTTTTATTTTTCTCGAATCTGATCTACTTCCTCTTTATTGTATCACAAATTGTTCTTCTTACTTATTACAAAAGAACACAGCTGAAATCATCATTTCATCTTCATTTCTCAATCGTCTGCATCATTTCGGCTAATTTCTCCTTGTGGTACAGTTCAACAATACATAATATGTTTGCCAATGGAAATTCAACTGGTGTTTATAACAACTCTTGCTTTCATGCTTCAGAAATCCAAAGGACATTAGGAAGAAAAGTGTCATCCATGCTATTGCCACCCCAGTTAGAATTCTGTATTCTTGCTTCAGCTCTTCTTTTAACCCTTTGGCAACAAGCACAGGAATGCAAAACTAACGAAGTGCATAGCACATATTGTTTATTGAGTGGTGATGTTAATGCAAAATGTGTGTATGTTGCTTCTAAAGGAATTAACGGTATTTACATCCTTGCTTTAATATTTGGAATGATCATTAATTCACTACATTTTATTTCGACAGTTCTTCTGAATTTTGCTTATGAATGGAAAAATAAAAATATGACAGTTGTGTACGACGTTGGACAAATTTTATATTCAATCAGCGTATGTGTCATTGTGTATGTATGCAGCCATCAAATGAAATTGAATTTCATGTTTACCAGGAGATCCTTGATTTTTCGAGAATACATCTTGATTTTTAGCTCAGTCGGAATTATGGCATTTTTCACATTTGAAGTTTTAGCAGGATTTTCTGGAATATCTTTCTCAAAATTTATCATTTTTAGTTCTACATTCGGAATGCTTGAAACGTTTCTGCAGACTTTACTTTTGATTAATTCAAGTCGGTTCAAAATTCTACAAAGTGGTTCAAAAGTTATATCATCCTGTTCAATAATTCTGGTCATCACAAACTTGACATACTGGCTAGAGAATTCATACAACAAGGGTATTGTTCTTCTGACTCGTAATAATGATAACAGCAGTTTTAACTTCGTGGATATCATTCTTGTGCCACTTATAGTATTTTACAGATTTTTTTCTGGAATAAGTGCATATTCAATGTATAAAAGATTTAAAATCAAATAATCTAACTTATGAAAAATCTGTCTTTCAGTTGTATATAAAACAAAATGTATAAAAAATTCATAAACATTAAATTTTTTGGGGGGTAAAAAGAGATCATTTTTCATTTCAAAAAAATACCACGAACAGAGAATCCATCAATCAATAGATGTTCCAAGTTTCCGGCAACTCTTCTGGAGTTACAAGATGGTATTTGAAAGCATTTCAAAAGTACTAGAAGGTCCTTGGGATGAGTTTTATTTGAGGAACCTGATTTTAAATTGGAATTAAATTCAATCTGGTGACAAAAGGAACAATTTATTGAATAGAGTCCTCGAAGATTTTGAAATCTGATCGTTTAAATCTGAAACATTGAAGAATGTCTCGTCAAACTAGGAGAGGAAACATGTCTGTACCTACTTCAAAAGAAGGAAGTTTGTGATTCGCCTGGAAATATCCATTGCATTATATGTCTCCAGAATGGAAAGGTTGAAAACGCCTAAAAACAAAGTGCACTGGAGGACTCTCACTTAATTACGAAATTATCAAAATGGAATGTAACATTTAATATATGATTAAAATATCAATTTGAGAAACAATTGTGTGTTATTTATTGAGAAAATATTACTAGGAACCAATGACTCAGAATTCACCTTGGATCGAACATTATTTATCATGAATCGGACAAACGGTAGTTAGACTGGGAAAGTGTCATATCTTTATCACAGTGCTTTAAAATTATTGATATGGATTATACGCTATTTTTCATTTAAAAATTAACTCCAGTTTAAATTTAATTGAAGATATCGATGCACAAATATGAAAAGATTCAAAGGCCCCACTTTGCCTTACAAAGGATTTAAGATGCCTGAATAATGTCGCAATTACCCGCCTTTTCTTTTGGGTAATCACACTTGGTTTGTACAAATAAGAAAATGGAGATAACGAACAGTATTCAATAACAAAGTCCATAAAACAATATAAAATTGGAGCAGAACAAACACGGACCTCGGAAACATCAGAGGTGGGATCAGATGCCATGGAGGAGTGAGCATCCCCTGCTGACAGGTCACACCCGCCGTATGCTCCTTGTCATAATCGGGAAATAACAGGAAAATCCGTCGTGAATGCAGTGTATAAATAATGGACTAACAATTAGTATGAAAAACGTCAGTCAGCATTTGTCTCAATAATGAATTGTGTTTGCTGACAAGGTCATTTTAGCGACCATAAAATGTACAAAATGATGACTTTAAACGAGACTGTTGATATTCTTGTTTCATCAACTTGCTTGTTAATAATTTACCTCGTTTAAGAAATTGTTTATACGTAGAGCATGCTCTTGCGTATCGAATCAACTGAGATATATAGACTCCGTATGCAGGTGATGAAGGTATATTGCTGCATACGTAAGAGAAGTTGACGATAGAAATGTTAAAGTCATCACGTTTATTATATAGCTTGGTTGTTAGCTTACCATTAACGTCTTTTTCAAGTAAAATATCCAAGTATGAAACAGGTGTGTCAGACTCTGTGGTATCTTTTATCTCAAGCTCACCAGGATATATCGTATCGACGTAGGAATGGAAATTATCATTATTAATTAACAATACGTCGTCGATATATCTAAATGTCGAGTCGAAGGCCACAGCAAGTGTTGTCTTCTTTTCACGCATAAGATTTTGCATAAATTCTGCTTCATATGAATATAAAAATAAGTCTGCTAATAACGGAGCGCAATTTGTACCCATGGGAATTCCAATAAATTGTTGGAATACCTGGTCTCCAAAAACTACATAGATATTGTCAATCAGAAACTCAGGCATCTTCTTGATGTCAACTTTAGAGTATTTATGTGTGCAATCAGAAGTTGTTTTAACAAAATAATTTTGCAAATGACCAATGAAGAGGTAAGTAAATTTATGAGTTCCATTTTCATTGAAGCAGCAGCTGTCAATGATATCAAAAAGCCTTGATTTTAATTTGTGGTGGGGAATTGTTGTGTTTAAAGCAAAATCGTAAGTTTTTTAGCTTTTGATTTTTGTAAAGTCTGGTGATTTCAAATTGTCCAAAAGTTCTTTAGAATTTTTAAGTATCCACATCTGATTTACATCACTTCTTGAATATATAGTTGCAAAGTACTCTTGAAGTTTTTCCTTCACTACTATCAATATCTTAGTGAGAATTAACGAAAGAGGCTTGGTTGAACATTTACTGGAAACTGCAATGTATCTTTGTTTGTAAGGATTCTTATAAAGTTTCGGAATCCAATATATATAAGGTAGTTCAAATTCATTTTGGCTCTGTCGAATATTAAAAGTATTCAAAACTGACAGGTGATGGTGAAGAATTTCTTCCTTAGAAAGAGAAGTATGAGTATAAGTAGGATTACCACTTGTAGAATTAAATCCAAGTTCTTCTAGAATGCAATTTATATAATGTGCCTTACAAACGTAGACAATGTTGTTACCTGCTTTGTCGGCAGGAACCAGTACGGACTATTTATTCAAGTACTATTGATAAAAAACAGATTTTCGTCTCTTAAACCTAAATATGTATACATGAAGGATACGGAGACTGGCTCTTGGGATAGACCGAGTAAACCAAGGTTCCATGACGCAGTAGACCCCTCACTGTTTAATGACCCTTAGTGCCGAGTATTGGTCTAAATTTGCAGCCCTCCACCGACAAGTGGTGACATTTCGATGAAATGGATGTGTTAAAGAACTATATACAAATAAACAAACAATAGAAGAGCTATACAGGAATTAAGAAAAACATTTGACACAAAATATACTGTCTTTGGCGTATCATTTAATTTAATATTTTTATACATTGTTTGTCACAAATCTATTAAAATTCTTCTGTAACTGTTTTAAATTGTCATTTCGTTAAAAGATATGGGAAAGAATTCGGTGTATGGAACCGGTCCACATGGACTGTTTTTTTCTCCATGGCACATGATCCCATCTCTTGTATGTGTATCGTATCAATGAATATTTCAGCTTGATAATCACAGAGTCCGACACTTTTGCTTCATACTAGGATATTTTACTTGAAAAAGACCCTAATGGTAATCTAACAACCAAGCTATATGATACACTCGATGACTTTAACTTTTCTATCGTCAACTTCCCTTACTTATGCAGCAATATACCTTCATCACCTGCATACGGAGTCTATATATATCAGTTGATTCGATACGCAAGAGCATGCTCTACGTATGTACAATTTCTTAAACGAGGTAAATTATTGACAAGCAAGTTGATGAAACAAGAATATCAACAGTCTCGTTTAGAGTCATCATTTCGTAAGTTCTTTGGTCGATACAATTACCTTGTCAGCAAATACAATTTATCATTGAGTCAAATGTTGACTGACGTTTTTCATACCAATGGTTAGTCCATTATTTATACACTGAATTGACGATGGATTTTTTAGAGTGACACTCTAACTCACTAATTGCTATTACAAAATATGTGAACCCTATGATGCAGCTTCTTGTACCAAATATGTGCGCACTGAGTATCAATAGCTTTTAACATCTTAGCTCTTAAACGAACCATGAGGGCTTTATAACATCTTAGCTCCGAAAATTTTTACCATCCTAGCTCCTAGACGAAATATGAGAGTTTTTACGAACTTCTGAAACAATGACTATTTGAGATTCACCATTTTGGCATTTAGACAAAATCTTGTTGTGCTGGGTGGTATAAATATTAAACCCATGGCGTCATAACTGTTGATCAGTTTTAGCAGAGGGAAAGTGAAACCAAAGAAGATTTCAAGTAAACAGACACAAGAAATCATAAATATTATTTGTGATTCCTGCTTATAAAAATATAGTTAAGCTTATGAACAAGGTATGCATATATATTTATACAATTTCTTCGTATAATGAAAGCAGACAACTTTTTACTGCCTTTTCTCTGTGGTTCGCAACAAAAAGATACAATAGTTCAACACTTCACCGCATACTTTGAAACATTTTTGTTTCTATCAAAAGTTCTCATTCTATTATTTTTGAAATTTTTTTTCGATCTTATGTACAAAAAGTAAAACTCTTGGTTAGATTTTATCCGAAAGTTTTGAATAATTATTACTGTGAGAGGAGTTTAGGATTCTAGCATTGCGCAGCACTTTTCATGGTACAGACACTATTTTACATAACTAATAATATAAAAAGAAATTAATTGTGTCGACAAAATAGATTAAGAATGATTGGCAGTTTTTGTCATGGCTTTATTGATTAATATTCAAATCAATCATCAATACAATCAATAGTCAAATCAATCATCAATACAATCAATAGTCAAATCAATCATCAATACAATGAATACAATGATGTACACAAGGTATCTCTACAATGATGTACATAAAGTATCAATTCAATGATGTACACAAAGTGTATATTGAATAATTAATACACAATAGGTACAATGATATTCAATGATATTCAATCAATGATGTATGCAAAGTGTATACATGTATTTACACAATGGGTACAATGATATTCAATGATATGCAATGTTATGCAATAATATGCAATGATATTCAATGATATGCAATGATATTCAATGATAAATGAATTGCAATGAGCAGGTAGCAATGTATTACAAAGACAATGGTCTACGTCGACTTTATCAATAGTATATGACGTAGAATCAATAGCAATGGCACAATGACGGAAGCTCAATTATTGGCCACTGGCCCTGGAAGATAACAGGATCAGCAGCGAGCTTCTAGCAAAATTCGGCCATATGTCTTCACATGGGAGCTAATAAAGCGTGGCATGTGAAGACATCCGCCACATGCGGCAAATTTTGCCCATGCCATGACAAAACTGCTATTTATTAAAGTTATGCAAAATTAATTACTGCTTGATATATATGCAGTATACCGTAGAACTGGGGAAATTTATATGAAGATCAATAATATATGTAATGATCGATAACTTTTCAATAGATCAATAGTTGCAAAGATCAATAATATATGTAATGATCAATAACTAAATGGAATTGGTAGGTAGCACTGCAAATTTTGACA